TACCACAGGCTGGGCTTATCTATCTATCCCAGTGCTGGCGAACCCATGGCAGGGGTGCCAGAGGCGGTATTCGGAGCCCTCTCTGTGGGCACACGTGCCGTTGCCCCAGCCTTGCCTCCCCCTGTGACCCCCCTCACCAGCAGCCCCCCTGTAGGAGATTCACCCCCGAGCGTGGCCCACGCGGAGCAGCGCAGCCAAGGACATGGCAGGCAGACAGCGTAGACAAGACTCTGCCCTCACGCCCCATCGTGCACAGTTGATGCTGCGGGGCGCGGGCAGAGGGCATGGCTGCCATGGCGCTGCTGGGCTGCCTGGGCGATCACCCTGGAGGCAGTGAGTGTCCCTGCAGGCAGGTGGGGTGGGGGCGGAGCCAGTTTTTGGGCACTCAGTCTCTAAAAGGTTCGCCATCACTGATCTATCCCATCAAACCATGATTTGTTTAACTACAAATAATGAATTGGCTATAGCTATCTGGGTTCATAACGCTGCTCTAAACCAGGGCTTTTCAACCAGTGGTACGGGTACCACCTGTGGTACATTGGCACCTGGCAGGTGGTACGCGACCATCCTAGAAAAGTGGTAGCAGGGGAGGGAATGAGCTGAACCGGTGGCAGCACCACACAAGCCTAAGCGAGAGACGGCTGGAGCTGCAGGGCTGTCAGGGCTCAGTGGAAGCACCAGGATTCGCGCCAGGCTCCAGCTGGAGCTCGGCATTGATCCTGACGCTTCTGCTGAGCCCTGAAGAAGCACCAATCAGCTGGAATGTTGCAGCATCTCCAGGGTCTTGTGATTTACATTCATCAGATGCTTGGCAACTGATTCATATTTATGACGGTCACAGTGTCCCAGGGTCATGTGAAGTGACCGAAACCTGCTGCAACCACCCAGCAGACGGGGGGGGAGGAATAAAAGCCAAACACCCCCCCCACCCCACTGCCAATCCTCAACAGAAATGCTCACAACAATGAAAACCTCGGACAGGAGGAAGAGCGCCACCAGGGGGGCGGGCAGGTATCTTGCTCGGCTGTGGCTTGGGGGGCACTTTTTTCAGTGCCATTGGAACTTCGGACAGTCACTAAGCGAACTGTTGTAAGTCGAGGACTACCTGTACTTCATAACTTTTTTCCTTTTTTTTTGGTCATCAAGTTTTTGACACCTTGCTAGGTGGTACTCTGATGCTGCCGTATCCTAAAAGTGGTACAATGAGTGAAAAGGTTGAAAAGCCCTGCTCTAAACCATAACGTAGCTTGGTTTTGGTAGCTCACCCTGAGAGAATTAAGCTTGGTGGTTCAAACTGTAGTGGTGTCACCAAAGCTATGGTTAAACCTGGATCACATTTTAACAGACATTAAAGGGGTTTGGGGAAGAAACTTTGATTAATGGCCCATCAGGCAGAAAAACAGAGCCTCTACATTCACCGGTTGAGTAAGGTGGGTTCTTTGCACCGGTTCATACAAATCTATTATTTTCGGGGTTGTTATATTTTGGACCGATTAGCTTGATTAAGCAATAAGCAGCCTTCTAAGATGAATGAAGGCGAATATATGTGTCCCAGGATAACGTTGCGGGATCCAGTCTGGCTTAGTCACCGGGACCAAAGCTTGGTCTGACCCAGATTGGATCCTGCAGCCTTCTGAGAACTCAGCGCAAATCATCTGCAAAGTATTCTACCTGCTTTTGATTACCATGACATAACCTCAGGTATTTGGAGAATTTAAGAATTTAGCTTCCAACATTTTTAGAAAGCTACAGAGGTTTATGACTCAGATGCCTGAACGATGATCTACCCTAACGTGTTTTTTTTTCCACTAAAGGAATGAAATTGTTCCCCTTGCAGGGCAATGGTGACATCTGCTGGTTTGTCTTCCACCAAGGAATATAATTTACCAAATTCCAAGCAAACTCAAGGAAAGAGCAACAAAGATGATCAGGGGACTGGAGGCTAAAATATTATAAGGAACGGTTGCTGGAATTGGGTATGTCTAGTTTAATGAAGAGAAGGACGAGGGGGGACATGATAGCAGCCTTCCAATATCTCAGGGGCTGCCCCAAAGAAGAGGGAGTCAAGCTATTCTCCAAAGCGCCTGAAGGCAGGACAAGAAGCAACGGAGGGAAACTCATCAAGGAGAGAAGCAACCTAGAACTAAGGAGAAACTTCCTGACAGTGAGAACAATTAACCAGTGGAACCACCTGCCTCCAGAAGTGGTGAATGCTCCAACACTGGAAGTTTTTAAAGAAGAGACTGGACAGCCATTTCTCTAAAATGGTATAGGGTTTCCTGCCCGAGCAGGGGGTTGGACTAGATGACCTCCAAGGTCCCTTCCAACTTTATTATTATGGATCATCGCAGTCAGCCAGATGTTCAGACTGGATTTGGCATTTTTGTCTGCCTATCGAGTCCTTCCCAAGGACCTGGGATAGGCAGATGTGGATGTTTGATGGTATTACAGATATTGTCGCAGGATGAAAGCAGTTCCTAGTAAGGCCGCCTTTTGCAATTGACCAATGGCAAATTATTTTTTATTATTAATTATTATTTATTTAATAAGTATTAATTATTATTTATTATTATTATTATTATTACTATTATTAAAATGTTATTACTGTTATTTATTTATTAAATGTATATGCTGCCCACCTTAAGGTCAAGAAACTCTGGGTTACAAACGAGATTAAAAATGAAGGAACAAAACATTAAAATTATTATTTTAAGGATCTTGACAGGCAATTGGCAAGGTTGGGAAGCAGCACAAACCTTGAAATCCCCCAAGCTGGAGACCCAGGAGAAACTCTTTACAGTGGTCCAGCAAGTGCACTACTCACACGTACAGGGAATGCAATGATGCAGGTGATCCTCAACTTACGATAACTGAACCCAAAAATTATGCTGATAAATGAGACATTTGCTGAGTTTTCCCCCATTTTACGACCTTCCTTGTCACAGCTGTCCAGTGAATCCCTGCAGTTGTTACGCTAGTAACACGGTTGTTAAGTGAATCTGGCTTCCCCCGTTGACTTTGCTTGTCAGAAGGTCGCAAAAGGGGATCGTGTGACCCCCAGGAACACTGCGACCGTCATAAAGGTGAGTCAGTTGCCAATCATCCAAATTCTGATCTCGTGACCTCAGAGATGCTGTGATGGCCGTAAGGGTGAAAAACGGTCCTAAGTCACTTTTTCTCAGTGTCGCTGTCGCTAAACGAATTGTCGTTAAGTTGAGAACGTCCCCTGGTTCACTGCTGCTCGCCGACAGCAAATCAGAATTTTTTTCCTCCATTTTTATCACCCGAGCCTTGGTTACTTCCCGCTTGAACCACAGGCCGTCCTCGAATTACAACCGTAACAGAGCTCAAAATTTCCACCACGAAGCAAGGCGGCTGCTAAGTGAGTTTTGCCCCATTTTATGACCTTTCTTGCCGCAGTTGTCAAGGTGAATCGCTGCGGTTGTTAAGTTAGTGTTACGGCTCTTAAAAGAGAATCTGGCTTCCCTCATTGACTTTGCTTGTCAGAAGGTCTCAAAAGGGGGGGAAATCACGTGACCCCGGGGACACTGTGCAACCGTCGCAAGTACATGCCAGTTGCCAAGCCTCTGAAATTTGTTCGCCTGATCGTGGGGATGCCGCAAAGGTTGTAAGTGTGAAAAATAGTCGTGAGTCATTTTTTTCAACCCCGTTGTTAACGTTGAATGGACACTAAACGCATGGCTGTAAGTCGAGGACTTCCTGTGCAATTGCTCCTGAAGATTATCCAGAGACTTTGGCTGATCTAGAACATCAAGCAGCTATGGGCACCTGTTGATTTTTCCATGCGGTACCTCTGCTTGATTCACTGACTGCCTGTCTAATTCCAAGTATTATTTCAATTTTCACTATGACAAAATTCGGGAGGAAAGTTGCTTGGAAAGGCAACAGAACCACCATCACCACCGTCCTTGCTCGTAATCATGAAAAGGCACAATGACAACACTCTGCTATGCTGTCTTGCTTATGCAGCCATCAGAAGCTGCTTCTGCACATCTATCCCAAAGGTGCTTTTTTTCATTCAGCAGGCAACTGGACTTCCTTGTTTTTCTTTGAAGACGTTTCGCTTCTCATCGAAAGAAGCTTCTTCAGTTCTGACTGGATGGTGGGGAGTGGAAGGATTTATACTCCTTGCAGAAAAACTGGTCATTTGCATCCTTTTCTAGAGTCGTGGAGGCCACTTGGAGGCTAATCTGTATCCTCAGGGTCACCTGAGTGATGCACATGGGTGTGGAGACTTCTTGGAACTGCTAAAAGGGACTGTGACTGCAGAAAGCACAACTACATAACACAGTCCTTTCAAGCAGTCCCAAGAAGGCTCCACACCCATCTGCAGCACTCAGGGTGATCCAGAGGACACAGGCAATCTTCCAAGTGGCCTCAACGACTCTCAAACAGGATGCAAATGACCAGCTGTCTGCAAGGAGCATAAATCCTTCCGTTCCCCACCATCCAGTCAGAGCTGAAGAAGCTTCCTGGAATGAGGAGTGAAATGTCTTCAAAGAAAAAACAAGGAGGTCCAGTTGCTTCCTGAAAAAAGCACCTTTGGGACAACCGTGACCTCTGGAGGACGGAGAATCTCCACAGATATTCTGCACATCTATTTCTTTTCGTTTTCTTCTTTTGCTTTAATTTTGTTTATCTTTTTAAGTGTCATGCGTAATAAAAGCACCATAAAAGGACAACCACCCACAAGCCTGCTCCTATCGTGAAGAATGACATTTCAACTCCTTCCGCTGATGGAAAAAGAAACGAACTTTCGCGCTAAACATATCTGCGCTGGAAAAAAAAAGTACGTTTTCGTGCACAACAACAACAAAAAAACAACAACAACGTGCAAGCCAACATTAAGGCTAAACTTCCAACGCGTTATGCAAGGAGCTTAGGGGCCATCGCTAATGATTCGCACAGTGTTGAAAAACATTCTGGGAAACTATGTTATTTTCAGCTCAGCTGCTTCTTAATCGGAAGCCAGAAGTTACCTTAGCAAAGAGAAGACATCATACGAGTTACGCACACAATTTGGATCCACCTGCAGATTCTTCTGGATTCCTGAGACACCCTTGAAGATAAACAAGACAGTGCGTTAACAGTTTTGCGTTGGGAACGCTGAAATTAGATTCTATTTTCCTAATAAAAAAAAAATTACACTCGCACGTTTTGTCCAGACAAAACAGGGTTTATAGCCCGCCCTTTACACGTGATATTCATGTTTACCAACCTTCTCTCTTTATCCCCAAGATACTTCTCTTCCTATTTATTAGATTTTTGTCCCTCCTTTATTATTTTTTATAAATACCTCAAGGCAATGGACATACCTAAGATTCAGTGGTGGAATTCAGCCAGTTCGCATCAGTTTGGTGGCTAAATTTTGCTAAGTTTGGAGAACCGGCTGAATGCACACTGCTTCCGGAAGTCTATTCTAGGCCTGGGAGTAGAACAGCCCACAGGAAGTGCGTGGATGCCACTTCCGGAAGTCGGTTCTAGGCCTCGGAGGTCTGAAGGAGGCCTACCAGGCCTAGAACGGCCCACCAGAAGTGCATGGATGCCACTTCCGGAAGTCGGTTCTAGGCCTTGGAGGCCTGAAGAAGGCCTCCGAGGCCTAGAACGGCCCACCAGAAGTGCGTGGATGCCACTTCCGGAAGTCGGTTCTAGGCCTCGGAGGCCTGAAGAAGGCCTCCCAGGCCTAGAATGACCCACCGGAAGTGTGTGGATGCCACTTCCGGAAGTCAGTTCTAGGACTTGGAGGCCTGAAGGAGATCTCCCAGGCCTAGAAAGGCCCACCGGAAGTACGTGGATGCCACTTCCGGAAGTCTGTTCTAGGCCTTGGAGGCCCAGGCCTGCATCCAATAAGAGAACTGGTTGTTCAGGTATTTGAATCCCACCACTGCTAAGACTCCTTCCTCCTCCTATTTCCCCCACAACAACAACCCTGTGAGGTGGGTTGGGCTGAGAGAGAGTGACTGATCCAAAGTCACCCAGCTAGCTTTCATACGTAAAGTGGGACTAGAAGTCACGGCCTCCTGGTTTCTAGGCCAACCCCTTAACCACTAGGCCAAACTGGCTTTCTATGTCTCACTGGACAGTTAATTTGATTTTTTTAGAAAACTGAAAAAACATTCTGGAAGCTAATGCACTCTGCGGGTTGATGATTTTAAGAGGTTACGGACGCAGTGGGTGTAAGCTTACCTTTCGTTCGTACAAGGCCCCATAATAACCATCATTCAGCCCAAAAATGATTTCATTCGGGCTACGAGCATGTATCTGTTAAGTAAAACCAGTGTCACAGATTCAGTCAGCTTACTTTAAAGCCATTGTTTTAGTTCTTTTAGCACCCAGAGTGGCATTCTTTGTAGGGATCATATGTTTTGTGGCATCCTTCTGTTATGCAGGTTCACCACTGACCCTATAGAGGGGAAAGGAAGAAGCTGAAACTCGATCCCATGAATAGATTCATTTTCTGGGCCACAACGAACAACGAACTAAGTAAATAATCATACATACGATTAGCCTTCAAGGGCCTAGGCCAGGGGTAGGCAACCTTGGCTCTTTTATGACTCGTGGACTTCAACTCCCAGAATTCCTGAGCCAGCATGGGGGAACTATGCCCCCTTCATGACTTGCAGACTTCAACTCCCAGAATTCCTAAGTCAGCATGGGGGAACTTTGGCCCCTTCATGACTTGTGGACTTCAACTCCCAGAATTCCTAAGTCAGCATGGGGGAACTATGGCCCCTTCATGACTTGCGGACTTCAACTCCCAGAATTCCTGAGCCAACGTGGCTTAGCTTGGAAACCTCTCCCTTTCCCCTCAGCATGGCTGGCTCAGGAATTTTGGGAGTTGAAGTCCACGAGTCATAAAAGAGCCAAGGTTGCCTACCCCTGGCCTAGATCATCCCGCACAATCTAACCTAATGATAACTTTGTTAAGCCTTCAGTTTTCAAAGTCTACTGAAGTACACCCAAAGCTAAACATCTGACATTCACTGAAGAAGCTTCTTAGATGAGAAGCGAAACATTTTCAAAAAGAGGAGGAGGGAAAAAAAACAAACCAAGAAAGTCTAATTGCCCTTTGAAAAAGCACCATGACCTGGATGATTGAGAATCTCCAGACATTTAACCATCTGGAGCTTTTAACTAATTTGGCTAGATAATGAACAAGCCAATTGAATATACTTCTACCTGCAGATAGTCAACTTTCAAAATGAGTGATTAACTTAGATAACCCTGTGGTCCGCTGGCTCCTCCTTTGAGAGCAGAGTGTGATATGACCAGAATGAACATTAAATTTCAAACTGATCGTATTTCTTTTATCTCAGGGGTCTTCAAACGTGGCCCTATTATGACTTGTGGACTTCAACTCCCAGAATTCCTCAGCCAGCATGGGGGAACTATGGCCCCTTCATGACTCGGGGACTTCAGCTCCCAGAATTCCTCAGCCAGCATGGGGGAACTATGGCCCCTTCATGACTTGCGGACTTCAACTCCCAGAATTCCTCAGCCAGCATGGGGGAACTATGGCCCCTTCATGACTCGTGGACTTCAACTCCCAGAATTCCTGAGCCAGCCATGCTGAGGGGAAAGGGAGAGGTTTCCAAGCTGAGCCATGCTGGCTCAGGAATTCTGGGAGTTGAAGTCCACCAGTCATAAAAGAGCCCAGGTTGCCTACCCCTGATCTATCTATCTATCTATCTATCTATCTATCTATCTATCTATCTATCTATCTATCTATCTATCTATCTATCTATCTATCTATCTATCATCTATCTATCTATCTATCGAGAGACTCCCAGGATTCCTCAGCCAGCATGGGGGAACTATGGCCCCTTCATGACTTGTGGACTCTAACTCCCAGAATTCCTCAGCCAGCATGCCTGGCTGAGGAATTCTGGGAGTTAAAGTCCACAAGTCATAAAAGGGCCACGTTTGAAGACCCCTGTTTTATCCTAATGCTGGACAGGCTCATGATCCTCAAAGAAAAGTATATATCGTAAATTGGAAATTAATCGTGGTGGCAAATGAACTTCAATAACAACTCAGTCTGTACTTACTTAAACAAACATGAAGATCATAGGCAGGCAAAGCAGTGGGAGTGGGAATGATATTTGACTTCCTGCTGGCTTCCCCAATGATTTTGCTTGTGGGAAACTGGCAAGGAGTGCTGAAATCACGATCACGTGACTGCAGAGAGGCCGCAATAGCCACCATTTTGCACATAGAACTGATCTGAACATGGTGGAAATTTCAATGCCACAGGAGTAATGGCTCCTGGATTTTTTTTAATGCATTTTTAAATTAATGAATTTTAGGCGCCTTGATTTTTAAATTAATAAATGTTAGGTAATCCTGATTCAAATACGTAGTATAAGGCACGATTTGGGCTACAAACAGATAAAACACAACCTTTTTAGTAATATATCGAAGATTCCTATTATCCTGCCCAAATTCTGTCTAGCACCTGCTAACTTTATATCTTTCAAAAGGCAACTGGACTTTCTTAGTTTTTATTCTTGAAAACGGTTCACTTTTTCATCCAAGAAGCTTCTTCGGTTCTTCACTTCAGAAGCTTCTCGGGTAAGAAACGAAACATTTTCAAGAAGAAGAAAAAAGTCCAGTTGCCTTTTCAAAATGATCTTTGGGACAACCATGACCTGGATGATTGAGGATCTCCACAGACACTTATTATCTTGCAACAATTCTTTGCTATTCCATCAACAGATTATTTGCTGAACATATCCTTACATAGCCAATCCAAGTTGAAACAGTACACTTTTCTTTTACCTGCTGGCCCAAATATTTGAGTCCATCTAGATTGACCTTCCACTCAATCAGTAGCTGATAGGTATCATTCTTGCCACCCCATATCCTCACCACAAAACAGGAGACAGACGTATCAAGGCGATCAGGCATTAAACCAAAGTCAAGGCTTCGCCATGTTGGATTCTGTCAGCGTGGAAGAAGAGAGAATGAAATATTCCAGGTTATTTTCTCACACAGCTATTAGTATATAGGAGTGGCCAAAATTGTGGAAACCTTTTGGGGGAAAAGTGTATTTTTGAGGTTTGATGGCTAATAACACCACTTTTTGGGGGGAGTAGTACCATAAAGTTATATATCAATGGAAAGATAATTTAATCAAGAATGTAATGCAACATAGTCTGTTCAATTATCTGTACTGTATTGTATGAAAAGATATAGCCAAATAACCAGAAAAAGGAAGCACAACTTGCTCAGGTTGATATCAGGTAGCTTTCCCTCATCTGATTGTAGCCAATGAGCGTGAGTGTTTATAGAGCCAATCAGGTGTCATCTTGTTTTGGCCATGAGCCAATCAGATCACAGTAGGATCCAGTGACTGATGTCACGTATTGAAGCTGAGAGGAGGACATTTGTCAGGGTGTTATGTGATGGCTATCAAGTTGGTTGGGGGTTTTTTTGTGTTCTTTCATTTAGTGAGTTTGTAAAACGTAATAAAATTAAAGTCATGGTGCAAAGAGCTGACTGGTCGCCCAGAAAGCGATGTAAAATAGTATTATTAAGTGAACAAGGCCGCAGTTATAAAGAAATTAGAAGAAAAATGGGTGGAAACTTAACCAAAGGTGGCATTTCTACTGTACACGTTTCCCAAAAGGTTTCCACAATTATGGCCACTACTGTATAGTTAGTCCTTAAGACCGTAATTGAGTCCAGAATTAGAGTCATACATCATGGCAGCCATTAAGCAGGTCACCAAGTGACCACACCCAACTTTACAATGTTTTTTGCAACGGTCATTAAATGGATCCATTTTTCCCAATGGGTGGGTTACCATTTTAGGCAGCTGTATTAACCTCTAGGCTACAGGTTCTCCTCACTTCTGTCAGCTGAAACCTAACCTTGCCTAACATGCAAGCTGCCCAGNTACATCATGGCAGCCATTAAGCAGGTCACCAAGTGACCACACCCAACTTTACAATGTTTTTTGCAACGGTCATTAAATGGATCCATTTTTCCCAATGGGTGGGTTACCATTTTAGGCAGCTGTATTAACCTCTAGGCTACAGGTTCTCCTCACTTCTGTCAGCTGAAACCTAACCTTGCCTAACATGCAAGCTGCCCAGGTTCGAATCTCAGAAGGGTATGGCTAGCTGATGAGAGCTAAATAGCTTGAAACAGCTATACTAATCTCCCTTTAACTCTTTGTAGGCAAAATCTAAAATGTACAGAAATAGTTTATCGCACTGGCGACTTGAGCCTGCAAAAATGCTCCTAGATTGGGGCTAAAAGGCAAAAGTAATCATAGCAGTAGACCCGGTGTTCTATTTGACATTTACTATGTGTGTGTGTGTGTGTGTGTGTGTGTGTGTGTGTGTGTGTGTATCTGTCTGTCTGTGTGTACACATACATACACATACACACAGACATACAGACAGACACACACACACACACACATAAATATATAAATAAAAGAAAAAACGAACACCAGGATATAATACGTGACACGTGACTCTTTTTAACCACAGGCTTGTTTATATTAAACAGGCTAGTTTATTATATCCTGGTGTTCGTTTTTTCTTTTATTTGTTAACATAATGCCCAGGATTCGCATTTTTAGTATTTTAAAAGATAAATATATAAATATATAAATATATAAATATATAAATATATCGGACCTAGGAATTAGGAAGATTACCTGTACTGGAAAGACTTTTTCTAAAGGGGCAGATACAGCTTGCGACTGTCATTAACGGCCCCATTAACAGTTGAGGCATCGGCTACGTCGCTACGACCTTACCTGAACCAAAATAGACTAGCTTCTCTGATCCGTTTCCTAATTAATCTCACAACTCTGCACTCAGTACGAAGCTAATCTTCAAGATGGTCAGGAAGCTGCAAACTGATACAGACCCACAGCTGCTTCTCTGTTACGTGACGCGACATGAAAGAGCAATGCTGGAACTCTCAAGATCAATGTTTAGATGCTTTGTTTTCTATTTGTTCAATACACCCCTTGCCCTTCCGTTCAAACCGAACTGAACTTAAGCTGGCTAATAAACATGTTAAAACCACAATACAAGAGACGGGGGGAAAAATCATCACTTATGGTATGAATCTAGGAAGCTCTAAGTGTTTTAGGATCCAAGTATTTAACACACTGGAAGTTTTTAAGAAGAAACTGGACAGCCATTTGTCTGAAATGGTATAGGGTTTCCTGCCTGAGCAGGGGGTTGGACTAGATGACCTCCAAGGCCCCTTCCAACTTTATCATCATCATCATCATCATCATCATCATCATCATCATCATCATTATTATTACATATCCCACCAGAATTTGATCTGATGCCTTGGATCTGCAGGGGAGGGGCCCTCCTCATAGTCCTTCAGGTTGATTTGGCTCAAATGTCAATTACAACCATTGTATTCTATGTCAATTTCATTTTAGGCTGTATTTTATTCCAACTTCATTTTATTTTATTCCAACGTCATTTTAAATTGTATTTTATCTAATGCCATTTTAAATTGCTTTTATCAAATTTTAGTAATAATTTGTTTCTGGAACCTTGCACTTTTAATATGGCCCAAGAGCTAATCAATAAAGAAATTTTTAAAAAAATTAAATTTAAAATTTACAACCGTGGAAATCCTACAAGGGTTCTTAGTTCCACTTCTATTCGTCCCCTTAAGGCAAATTGATATTCTCAAACACAGAGAATATAGTTTTGTGTTCCGAAAGTGGTCCGCAATCTATGACCGCTATTGAGCCCAAAACTTCCACTGTTCAGTGGGACAGTTTTGCCTCGTTTTATTTTCTTGCCACAGTCATTAAGCGAATCACTGCAGTTCTTAAGTTGGTAACAAGGTTATTAAAGGAATCTGGCCTCCCCATTGATTTTGCTTGTCAGGAAGGCACAATGGGTGATCACGTGACCCCGGGACACTGCAGCCGTCATAAGTGTGAGTCACTTGCCAAGTGTCTGAATTTTGATTATGGGATCCATGGGGATGCTGCCACGGTCGTTAAGTGTGAAAAAATTTTAAGTCACTTTTTTAGTACTGTTGTAACTTCAAACGGTCACTAAATGAAATATTGTAAGTCAAGGCCGCAGGGGTAGGCAACCTTGGCTTTTTTATGACTCGTGGACTTCAATTCCCAGAATTCCTGAGCCAGCATGGGGGAACTATGGCCCCTTCATGACTGGTGGACTTCAACTCCCAGAATTCCTGAACCAGCCATGCTGAGTGAAAAGGGAGAGGTTTCCAAGCTGAGCCATGCTGGCTCAGGAATTCTGGGAGTTGAAGTCCACGAGTCATAAAAGAGCCAAGGTTGCTTACCCCTGGTCAAGGGCTACCTGTACTTCTCACTGCCACACCAGGTAGGTACAACATTGTACCAAGAACATCTTTCGTGGCATCACTGCGTTCAAAATGGCAAATCCAACTGGGCAATTGAAAGAGCATTTTATTTTATTTTTTTAAATATGTATATAGCTACCCATCTTGCAGCCAACTTGGGGCGGTTCCCAATCAAAAGTTAAAACAAAAGACAGAACCATATTAAAACTCTCAAAAGTTTTAACCCTGTATTCGATTCTGGGACGTCCGGGGGGGGGGGAGGGGATTCAAGATGTAAATGTAAATTTTGGTATATTAAAATGTTATAGTGAAATAATGTATTTGAAGAAGGTGAGCTGCTCGGCTGGCGCCCCCAAACTCCGTCCGAAGGATGAGGAAAGGAAGGAGGTGGGATGTGTAGGGTAGTTGAGAGGAGGAAGGAGGAGAGAGGTGTAGGTAGGAGGAGAAGAGAGGAGGAGGGAAGTAGGTAGGAAGGGTGAAAGAGAGGGTGGACGCAGGCGGGGGGGGCTGCTGAGCATCTCTGAATAGATACATAACATGGGGTTTTTTTTTCTTTTGTTTATTAATGTATACCATATTTGTAACTTGTTTGTTTATTTGAAAATTAATAAAAATTTGAATATTAAAAAAAAACTCTCAAAATTAACACATTACATTAAAAACAACAAAACCCACCCCGTCTTGTTTCATGCAGTGAATGCAATCACGTCCACCATTTTGAAGCCAATTACTGTTATTGCAGAAAAAAAAACAAAACCCCAGGCTGCAACTGCTTAATCACCAATCTTTCCCTTGGATTATTGTGGCTGCCTTCTACAGAAATGCATTCTGGACTATAAGTGACAAAACCTCGTTAGCAATCTCTGGTTTACTGCAATAATAGATATAACTCGTGTAGTTTGCACAGGGATTTACACGAGGAAAACATTGTCCCATGTCACGGTTTAATAAACATTAAACAATCTGGAGAAGGGGTGGGTGGGCAACTAAGGCCACTTTACAACCTGTGGACTTCAATTCCCAGAATTGCTGGCTCAGGAATTCTGGGAGTTGGAAGTCCACTGGTGATAAAAAGTTGTCATACAGCTGCCCACCCCTGCTTTAAAGGAAAAGATTCAAAGGAAAAGCTTAGTCAACATAATAACAGTTCACTTACCAGTGAATTCTTTATGACCTCACTCTTATAAAATTCTATTGAAAAAAAAGAAAAGAAATTTAAAAAAAAACGTTAGGGATCACATTGCACAGATTTCTAAGGATTATCAAGCCGGGAGAGCAAAACAGCGATTGATCATGAAATCAAGCCAAAGTCCTAGAGAGGTCAGGTTATGCAAACAATGGTTGTCATAAAATAACCTCAGATTACATGGAAGCCAAACCTGTGGGAACCTATGCCTGTTGAACTCTTATTTTTGGGAAAAAAACAGCTTTCTTTGGTGACCCATAAAAAAAACTCAAGAAACCTCTGCATCAAGTTTCTATCAAAGAAAGGTTTTTCAGTGTCTAATCAGCATAAAGAAGATTATGATCTTCTTTATGGGACACGTGACTGTGGGAGGGGGCATCAGCAAAACCTGATATTAAATACCTCT